ATGCTGAGAAGATCGAACACGCAATCATATGAAAGAAGACGATCCGCTGATTAGAAAATGTATCTACATAAGAGTACACAAGTGGACTGACTATGATGATTGTACACCAAGACAGACGACATTTGTAAGTACCCATTCTCTCGTTTTGTCTAAATGGAAACAATCGACTTTTGGCGTTTTTTTTTGTTCTTCTGTCTTTCTCTCTTTATCTTGTTTAATAAAAATCTATTTGTTAAGATTGTGTGCATTCTGTTGGAACAATCGTGCAGTCAATCACATATATAGGCATAGAGTAACAACAACAACAAAAGACAAAGATTGATCGCGCAAACTCATTTAACGATCTGTGTGTTCAATATACGCATGTCTATGCGACACACTCGCATAGGAAAATGCCGATCTTTTTTCTCTTGCGACTATATGCAAGTACGACTGCTGTTTCTACTAGAACATTACTTAGGCAGAGAGAAACAAGAACGAGAGAGAGAGAGAAAATCCATCATAATCCTCTTCAAGTACGGAAAAACGAGAACGAAAGACATAGGAAAGCATATGAACCAAAAGAAATAGAGAAAGAGAGAGAGAGAGAGAGAGAGAGAGAGAGCAATTGATCATGTCTGTTGTTACCACATATTTCTTCTTCTGTCGTATACTGGCAGTTATCGATATGCATCCATTCATATAATCCTCCCGTGCGTCTTCTTTTCCTAATGCCATCAACACTCTAAGAGTAGAACGAGAAGAAAAAATAAGTAATAGTTCACACAACCACAACCACAACCACATAGACACACAAATATTCTCAGAGTGGTCATCATCAGTTGGTATCTCTGTTAGTCTGTCTTTTTCGCTCATTTGCTTACCGACAGTGATTATTATGGACAGGCAGGCAGTTTACTGTCTGATATGGTATGTAAACCGTTATCGTGCATCATTATCAAGAAAGTAAAAATAACACTTGGAATATATATATTTCTTTTTTTGCTTTCTATCTTCATTCTCCAGAAATTCCAGATGATCATCATACGGTAATGGTTTAATTACACACATTTTTATAAGGAGAAAGGAAGTCTATTCGTTAGATTAATATATAAATAATTAGTGTAGTGTTTATAGAAATGATGAGAACGTATCATTTTTTAACAATTTAGGATCCATTACATCTTATTTTGTCTGTCAAAAACAAAGACCCTAAAAAATAGAGATGAAAATACAAAATTTCTTATTTTGTTTTTATATATATTGCATACTGTATGTACATGCTATAACTAGTAAATTAATTTATAGGATCATAACTTCGTTTAAGCGTATTATTAATATTTCTAGGAGAATATCAAAAGAGCTTATAGTTGTGGAAGAAGAGAAAATCATAGAAAAGAAGAATAATAGAGGATGGAAGCGTAAATAATAAGTAGAAAAAAAAACTTGAAGATAAAGATATAGAATCGGTGTTGCACCAGGTTAGTTTTCTTTTATCTGTTGTCGAGTATTTATACTACGTTGAAAGTATTAAAACTCTTCTTTCACCTAGGTCTTTAGCTCAATCTACCCTAGCGGGTACTTGTCGTAGAATATTAATCGTATTTCACCGTTCTATTAGGTTGAAAAAGAAAATTAATAAAGACATAGAAATAAGACTAAATAGAGAAAGAGCAGAAACAACAATTATTGTATATTTTGATGTTTTACAGGATCTAGTTTTTTTTTCCTTGAATTTTTTCTCATAAATATTCGAACAACTAAGTAAGTCTCAAAGGAAGTATGTCATTTTGTTCCATAAAAGAAGAAAACAATATAAAAAGAAAAAGGATAAGAAGAAGAAGAAGAAGAAGAATATAAAACTTAACCTATAAACGACGTCATTGATCCTCATTAGAGCCTTCTTTACAAACTTTTGCAGTCCGTGCTTTTTTTTTGTTTATATTCTTCATATTCAAGGTCTCTACACAAATATGTAAAGAGCAAACTACAGAACAAAACACTACTAAAAGTAGTATATAAAAAGAGCCATTGTCTTTTTATTCAACATTCATTCTTTTTCTAGCGTTAACCATACGTATCTGAAAAAAAAAAACATTTTTTCGATGATGCAATTTTTTTGCATTGCTAATTTCGTTTTATCGATAGCCCAAAGTTTATACATTTGACATTGAGCTGTCATCGAGTACGCTGTTCTTCAGTACAGTAACCACAATTGCGGACAAGCTCATTTAACATTTTAGTATTTGTTAGCGAGAAACGCAATGTGCGCTAGATACATCTCCTAAGCAAGCGAAGGAGAAGCAAACAACTGCATTGATGATGAATTATTGAGCGCAAAAACTATCGTACATACTCTCGCTTATACTGAATAGTTTCTATCATCCATCGGACGACAACGACGACGGAGACAACGAGCAACTATCACCAATAGGTCAATTCCATTGGGACGAGCATACTAAAGAAAGATGTGATGCCGCAATCCTCTTATCTTTTTCTTTTTCTTGTGCCAGTGATGCATCTTATTCTATTCGCACAGTGATGCATCATATTCTATTCGCATACAGAATCTAGTTGTAGTTGGTCCAAGGTAATTTGTTTCGCGAACTGTTGTCGTCATCCTCGTTATCGTCACACTGGTTTCTCTTGCAACATCATCATCATCAAAATCGTTATACATATATTATTGAACAAGCAGTCAAGCATATATTTGCATATAGAATTGCTCAAGATCGATCGAAGGAAATACGTAAAAAAGAGAGCAAAAGAGAAGAAGAATATGGCATCTCCATATGTTATGAATCAATTGTGCCGTTACTAAAAGTGCATAGAAAAAAAAAGAAAGCAAATCAGCTGGATTCATATTATTCTTTGTCAGTAGGATAAAAAAGAAGAAGGAAGAATAAAAAAGAAGACAGAGAATGGTAGTAATCTAGATGTATTTATATATATATATATGTATATATATGTACTGTCAAAGCACAATACATCGAAAACTCTCTTTTGATGTTATCTTTATTCTATTAGATTTACGATTGATAATGTAAGTTTTCATTTCCAAAAGACAAGAACCAAAAAAAAAGAAAAAGACAGAAATAAGATACTTGATTTAGCATATCTAAAACTGCAAGACGATAGCTTCTTTTTTTTGTCTTTATCGGAAAGACGAATAAATAGCAAATTTTCTTCAATGGCAAAGAAAGGAAACGGCACTATATTGAGTTTTTCGACTTTATAGAAAAAAAAAGGGCATCGGAAAAGTATAGCTTCAAGTGACATAAATATTTTCATTCCTTCCGTTCTTATCCAAAGCAACTTGTTCCATTACAGTGTTTAAAGAAAGAAGATGATGTAGATGGAGAGAAGGAAAAAAAAAATGCAAGTGTTGTTTTTCCTATCATCGCCCCATCGAAAGTGTGATCAATTGGATGAGCTGTAGATGATTTTTTGACATGAACGATCTGTGTGTAAGCATGCGTGTATATGTCTGTCCTATGTAATCAAGGCTGAAAAAATGCGATTAGTAACTAATGAATTGAGTTAAAAGAGAAGAACATCGATCGAGAAAGAAATATCGACGGCGAACATTAGTCGTCGTAAGTTTGTTGTTGCAGTTTATCAGCACGCAATAGCTTAAGAGGTGGAGCAGCACGATTCTTATAAATGTGTATGTGTGTGCCGATTATTTCCCAAAAGAACTGACAAAGTGAGATGATGATTATGTGCACATCAACTTTGTAACAGCCGCATGCTCTTTGGTGTATATTTTCACGAGAAAATAACTAGCGGCATATATCATCATCATCATCACTAGCAATACCAACACATTAGTTATCCAAAGATGAGTCTATTCAATCACATAAGTCACACATAAATATACATATAAATATGAAGAACTTTATATGTAGTCAATACAAAGAAATCTTTTCACCCTCAAGGTACATATATATCTAACGTAGGATCAGACATCTATATATGTATGTATACATGTGTAGAAGCCCATCTGGCATGAGATAGAAAAAAAATGAATAAAGGGAATTTGTTAGAATATTGTTTGACATTGAGTTTGACCTTGTGTGGTAGGTCGGTAATGATTATGACTACATTTGTTAGTCAACTTTAACGTATATAGTTAGCTTGAGCAAAAAAAAAAGAAAGGAAAATATAAGGTATGTATGTTCTTGTGCTCTTTATGAGTAGGTAAATACGACGACAAATAATGAGTAGAATCGTAGTTAGACACGAAACGCATGCAAGGGTATTCTTCATTTTTCTTGGTCGGCAATTCTAATTTTTATGCTGTTAACAAAGCATTACATTGAGAGGAAAATTTCTTATATTTCTCGTGTGTTTCTTTTCTCTTTATTTGCATCAACAAGTAGATTAAGATATTATTCTTTATAGATATAAACCTATTTTTTATATATATATTATTATTAACAAAAGAAGAATATTTTTCACTCTATCCTTCCATTCTTTTGTTATAATCATTAAATTAAGGATACAACAAAAATTGTTGGTTGTCTTTCTTTTCAATATATCTTTATATATATATATATATATATGTATGTAAGATAATGAGTATGTATCAGATACATCTACTAAACAGGTCAACCTTTTCTTATAAGTTCTCCAAGCCACTAACAAATCAATATTGTATTGATCAGATCTCGATGAAGGGCATATGTAGAAAAGAGGATGAAAAAAAGTGAAATGCCATTCTGTTGAATAGATACCTTTGACGGTCGTTCTTCTTCTTTTTTTTTCCTCGCTTTTCCTTTGTCTTCGTTGTGTAGAAAACGTAACATTGTTTATCTTATCCAATATACGAGCCATTACCCATTATACACACAATTGCCATGTTTGTATTATCGATGTATATTTCTTAATTTTAGGTAATGGCTGGTATCCAACGCTGCTGGCAATGGTCATATAGATGGCTGTTCAAGGTTAGTCAAGAGCATCAAAGTCATTCTATAACTATTATTATTACTACAAAAATAATTAAAATAAACTGAATTATGGCTACAATGAAAATGTCTCAAATGTTATCTGTACCCTTAAGTCGAGTACGATCACCTAAACTTAAACGTCAAACACCTATTGATGATGAAATTGATGGTCAACAACATAATCAACCACCTAAATCGATTGCGTCTGATTATGAATCGAACTCATCTCGTTCTCTATCACCATATTGGCGTATTGTTATGGATCCTGAATCTTCATCAAGTTATTTAGATGTACCTGAAACAACGAATAATAGTCGTCGATCATCAAATAATAGTGTTGTACGGTTTACTCCACATGATGGCTCTGATCTATGTTCTATTCTTGATATGACTGTAAATATTTACATAATGAAATTATTTTTTTTTTAAATCGAATTTTTGATTGTATATTTATTTATTTTTCTTTTTTTTCTTTCTTTCTTTCATACTTATAGTACGAATCAGAAAATCTTGAAAAAGCAATTATTAGTAATGATAAATATACTGTACGTCGTATTATTGATATTCATCAAAATAAATTTAATTTTATCAAAGACCGTACAAGTTTAGTTCAAACACAAACAGGTTTTCCTGTACATCCAATGCCACCAGCACAACCGCCACCACATCCAACAGCATCATTTGGTTCGCCATCCATAACAAGTAATACAGATTTATTAGAAGGTGTAAGTAAACAAGCATTAATTAGTAATGATATTGATGAATTACCAACAATATCAACTCCAGAACAAACTAATTCAATGTTTGATGCACCCAGTAGTGTATTAACATATACAACTGGTCCACTTGCAGCTGCATTAATTAATTATCATCATCAAACATATCCAAATATGCATGTAACATCAAACTCATCAACAATGAATGTTGGATCACCAATAAATGAACGTATTGAAAATGAATATGATTCAATGTTTACAGCACCAACAAGTTTAAATAAAGAATTAAATTATCCACCAAGTGATTCACCAAATGATGCACCACCTATCTTTCGAAACGTTTTACATGTTGCTATTATGTATGGTAAGTAGTATATGATTAATGATGATCTTATATCCATAAAATGAAACAACTGATATTAAAAAGATTATTCAAAAAAAAAATCATTTTTCATATTAATAAGTCATTTGAGAATAAGATATATGATAAATGATATTAAGATAGACTTTTATCCTTGTGAATATACTAAATTTAGAATACGCTGCTATTCGCATATAATAGAAACTCCTGAATATTTCAGTACTTTAGAGTATTTCATGAGTATGAAGCACTTGACTAAAAAATACTTCTAAATGTACTGAAATAATACTCAGCAGAATATCCAATCAAGATTCTGTGACACACTAGTAACATAATAGACGAAATGGTATCCTATTAACAACTGGTCTAGTTCATAACTACCTTGAACTCAGTATATTCTCTAGAGTGATCTTAATCAATATTAAGAATATGAATTATTTTTCTTTTAAACTTAGATGCTCGTGATGTTATGCGTATTTGTTTAAAATATGGTATTGATCCAAATGCACCCGGTATACATCCAAATACAAGAAATATTTCATCAAATTCTCAAACACCAACATCAAATTCATATTCACATTCAAGTACACGTTTATCACCGGATTTACCACGTGCATCACCTTGTCGTAATGGTACGTTAGATTATAATACGTATTATACTAATGAACGTTTATTCACATTGCCACCTTTATTTCTTGCTGCACAACGTAATAATCATTATGCATGTACACTTCTACTTAAATATGGTGCAAATGTTAATGCACGCGATGAACAATATTGTAGTCCACTACATTTAGCTGCACGTTTACAACATGATGTATGTGATATACTTATATCTCATCATGCTTGTATAACAATATCAAATAAATATGGTGATACACCATTATCACTATGGCCAGCAGTTAAACAATTACAAATAGCTTTTGTTGAACGTGAATTTAATAAATTATGTCGTAAACATTCATCAGTATCAAAACGTTATCGTTTTTTATCACGTGACAATAATAATGATCAATATCAAACGATATCATCAATGAATAATTATAATAATGGTTTGGTACCAGCAAATGGTTTAAAAAATTTAAAACGTGTTTTTCGATATAGTGGAAGTGATTCATATGATTCAAAATCATTTAAAAAAAGTCTTTCATCACAAAGTTCAATTGGAAAATCAAAACGATTAGCTGGTAGTAGTTTACATACACATGGACCAGGAACATCTATAGGTCGTAGTGTATCTCGACAAGTTTCTGAAGAACGTGATGATGTTGATATGCCACATTTTGGACGAACATCAAATAGTAAACGTAAAGTATGTTATCAAATTTATTCTTTTAATCAATAGTAGTTATACTAAGATTAACATCAAATTAATTTTTTTATCATATCTCAAGTGATTGACAAATTTTGTTCTGTTAGATAAAAGACATCTTGTTTAAACCTGTTTTCTTCCTTTCATATATTACTTTTTTTTTTTTCGTTGACATATTGCGGAATTGTGTTAATTGAAGAATAAAAGCTATGAATGAGTAAACGAGAAAGTAATAATTTATGTATGCATAACAAGAAAATATTTTCTTCGACAGAAAAAAAAAAAACGCAATTGTCAGCTAGAAGGAAAATGATAGAGAGCTGTAAATGGTGCAAGTAGGAGGAAGTGATTAATATTTAATTTCATTTGTTTCAGCAGTAAAGTACATTTAGTGAATATATAAAAAATAGAACAACAACATCGTGCATTCTTTTGTGACGATGATGATTTAAATTTTGATAATTATGACAGTTTTAATTGCTAATTCAAATTTTGCAATTATTTGAACCATTAGATGAATTAATATGTTTATCAACATACTATTAGTTGAAGTACAAACATAATAATGAAGAAAAAGAATACAAGCTATCCGAAAAGTCATCTGCTAAAAGGAAAACTATACATCTTCATTTCGATTAAATTAAATCAAGCAGCTTTTTTTTTGCTAATAGAGAAGACTTGCAAGGTTTTATTCATAAAGTTAAAGTTTATAAATCCTCCTGAAAACTATAGGTTTCAGATCCAATACATAAAAAAAACTAATTTTGTCGAATGTGGAAAAACAAAGTGTAGAAATTCCTACTAAAGTCTTTCTGTATTTTACACCATCCAAATTTTCTAAGTTTCATGCAATATATTCTCTTGGTTGATATAACTTTTCAGATACCCTGTATAATGAAAAGAAAATTATGGTTAAAAAAAGAATAATACTTATATCTAATGACAGAACCGGGCGAGGTGATACTTCGTTTCTGAAAGGATACATCAGTCATTATCTAGACATTGATGAGACTGCAAGAAATGTCAAAGGATTCTTCTCCATTTGCTGTCATTTTAACGTTCTTTTGCCCATAGACAGCTCTTGAGGTCATTAGAATCTCTTAAAAATTTCATTCAAACAGAGTACTTTCTTCTCGAGATATTATATTCATAAAAAAGCGATGATATTCCACTAAAATAACGGAAAATTCTCTTTTTTTTTTGTTTTGTGGATTTGATATCTGAAGAAGAGAGCACTCTCATTGGATGAAATTATTAGAAAATTCTATTGACAAGTGTCTGATCTTAAACACGCAGCACTATTTCGAGTAGTTCCCTCATCAGGTTTGTTAAACGTCATCAACAACAACACAATGAATCAGATCAGGTTATGAAAAATTAAAATTCAATCTTAGTTTTGTTTTTTATTGTATTTGAAACATAATCATAGAAAACTAACTAAAATTTGATAATGATATTTGATCCTTTATGAATACGAATTCATATTAGAAAACTTGAAGGTTTTTTTTCTGTAGAAGGATTTTATATCTAATTCCATAATAATTATTGAAAGAATATAGTTTTGTCATTTTCAACATTTATTTTATCTCTTCATGACTAGTTTGTAATGCCATGTAAACAAGGATTTCTTTTTATTCTCTTATATTAATCATCTAAAATAGTTATATAAATAGTATTGATAGTTTATCATATTTCCAATATACTAATGTATATGTCATGATTATTATACAGTTCGATAGACTTGACAAAAATCACAGTTTACTAGCACGACATATAATTAATATGATAACTCTGGTTAATTATGTAAATTAGAGTTAATAAAATCTTTTAGACTTGACCTCTTGCAGTGAAATTGTTGTATAATATGGCAAAAACCGGTACATATTTTTCCATTATCTATCGGAAATAAATTATGTGTACTGTCTATACAATTTGATATGAACCATGACCCTAATCTATGTTATTTTTTCTTTTTACTAGAAAATGTGTACTAGCTAACGATTTGATCTCATTTTGAAGATATCATATTTAGTAATTGATAAATAAAAGAGAATTCTTTCATATTAGAAAGAAGATTTTCCATAAAAAATTTGACAAGAAAGAAAGAAACAAGAAGAAGTTTATTTAGATGATATATAAAAGCATTTCGAATTCTATGAAATAAAAACGAAAGAGGATTTTCAATTATTGAGTGAAGAGAGTCAATTTTAATATCTGAAAACAACTAATCAAAAAAAAAAAAGAAGTCAGAATGATAATAATAGTAATATAGTTCTTTTTGTTGTTTGAAAAAAATAATAAATGTACTTCAGACTTTCATCCGCACTTATATTATCTTCGTTCACGAAAGGAAATATTTATTTTATTTTATTTTATTTTTCTAAAAACAAACGTCTTTTATTTTCCAATTAAAATTATCAAGAGTTTTACTAGTCAAAATGAATGAGTCTATGTCATAACTCTTTGAGTGTTTTTGTTGCTTATTAGGAAAACATAAAATGTTGTTTTTTTTTAATTGATGAAACCGTAAAATTAACTTTATTTTACGGACTAATAAGATTATATCTTTAAAAGTATCTAAGAATTCAAGATTGTCTTCTTTTATATTTATAAATGAGATGAGAAACACAATAATTCTGTTTAATATATCATCACTATAACATATTGAAATTTATTGAAAAAAAAAAAGACCAATGTATGCATTTCATTTTTGATTATTTTTGCTAATCTTCGATGAAAAATTTGTTGTTGCTATTATCTTTGTAGGAAAATAAAAATAACTATGTTAGCGTATATCATAGAGTATAATCTGCCGGGAATTTCCCTATCTTATTCAGAAGAAATGTTAATAGACAGAGCTATTGTCGATTAAAATATGATAAGATTAACAGTATATATAGCAAAGATTTATTTTAATATCAACAAGCAAATTTCTGTTGTTTTTTTATTGTATAAATAATATCAAAATTTATTTTAATATACTATATATATATATATATGTACGTTCATCATTCTATATTGAGCTTTCTGAATTCATAAAAAAATAAATAAAATTAATTATTTATATTTAAGAAAATGAACTTTCAAATATTATAGATATAGAATATATGAGTTTTAATCAATCTAAATTTGAGATAACTCATTATCTGCGAAGATTTGTTTTCTTTTAAATACTCTTTAGACAATAAAAAAAAAACAACTTTTTGTTTCTCCGAATAGACTAAATTTATTATTCAATAGAAGCAAATGAATGTGACAAGAAAAAAAAAATCTTGAGAGATTACCTTTTGATCACTTTTATAAAAGTATGAAAATGTAGACATATAGCATTTCATGGAAGTAAAATGATTGGGTGTATAGAAATTTTCGACAGATGTTCACAATCTAATTGAGATTTTTTTTTAATATTTTAATCTTGACTGATTTATTTGTTTGTTTAGTTAAGCAATAATTGAATGATTGATTCAGTTGTAATTCCTTCTGTTTTGTTTCTTCCTCTATGTATCAAGCCTCCTCTTTTTCCCTATCTCCTTTTTTTTTATTATTTGTTCTATTGTCTGACATAAATTAATTAATTTTGCTTTTATTGATCACACAAAAAAAAATATGTCTGAGGACAATCAGAGAAAGATCATATGTAATGAGTTTTGATAGTTGAAAGATAAAAATAAGATTAATCAGTTATTGTGAGTGTCTCGTTCTTTTTTCTTCTCCTTCTCTGTTGTCTCTATTTAACTATATTTTTGTGTGTGTGCGTGTCGTTTTAGACGGGCACCTCATCGTTGGCTGTCAACATTCTTCATGCCCATAAATCAACGCGTCAACAACAGCACTCTGCAGCAGCAACAGCTCACGCATCAGCAGAAAGTGAGTAACAGAACGGCAATTGTATTGATCTCGCTCTTCATTGCTCCCTCTTTGGGGCATGTTTATATTAGCAGGACCAGTTTCCTCTGTGTGTGTGTCTCTCTCTCTCTCTTGCCCTAAGGTAGTCTCTTCTTCGCTCTATTTGGCTGATCCATCGATAAGCACGTTTACTACCATCCCATCAGTGCCATAGCAAGACGTAGGATGATCAGAATTTTCCACTGCTATAAGTTAGTTAGCTATACTTAGTAATTGTGATGATTTGACAGATGCTGCAACCTTTTCGACAAAATGCAGTTTTCTATATGCACGCACACCAGTTGTTTACAATAATCTGTCAAAAACCATTTTCCATAATATTCTAATCATTTACCATCCGAGTTTCTGACTATATCTTGTTATATGCACAATCTCTTGTTAATTCAACGTCCATTGCGATATATATATATGTATATACATACATACTAATAGAGTTAGTTTCTTCAAAATGAGTTTATTGTGGACGTCCATGACTGTTAACAACGATAACAATTTCATGACAAAATAAGTGTAGAAAACACAAAGAAGAAAATTTATTTCCGATGACAAGTGATATGACCATCATAATTCGAATGTAAATAGATTTTTTTCTATTTTACTTTCTTTATTTTGCTCGGTATAAAAAAGAAAATCAAGATATAAATAGAAGATAAATTATGCAAATATGTGTATGAATGATTTCCGGTACTAACAGAAAACATAAATATAAACTTGTCAGTGAAATTTTGCTTTGTTTTTGCTTATTAGCAGATTGTTTCACCTTTCTTATCTTCTCGTTCTATTCCTCCTTTTACATCTATCATTATCTAAGGTATGTCTACCATTTCATTAAGTAGTATAAAAAACGAGAAAACTCACGTCCCTTTTTCACTGACTCTCACACACGAACGGTTGATTATGAACGTGTGCATATATACGCGAGAGCGGTGTTTTTGTTTCATAGTCGTATATATATAATCGCGAGAAACTGTGACTTCCGATGGTGTTTCCATCATTCTTTAACAGTTTAGTTCATTTTATGCAGGAGAAAATAAAAAAAAAAAGAGAAATGTTTTACTTTGGATCATTGTTCACACTTCTCACTGAGCAATTTTCCTTTAAAACATCCGCAATTATTTTCGTTTATA